CTTGTTTGTTTCTGCAGGAGCCCAAGGAGAGGCCGAAACCGAGACGATGCCTGGGAAGCTGAAGGTGAAAATCGTGGCCGGGCGCCATTTGCCAGTGATGGACAGAGCTAGTGACCTGACAGATGCCTTCGTGGAGGTTGGTGCAAGGTCCTGCCCCTCCAAACACAGGGAGCGCCAAGCCCTGTGAAGGATCCTACCCACCTCTCCCGCAGCCCCTCAGCCCGTTCCTCTTCCGACTGCCCTGCGGGGTGCGGTGCTTGGCCACCCCTCCCTCGAGGGCTGACTGCCGAGACTACAGCCCATGTGATGGGTGCACCGCTCGCAGGCGTCCGCGGCACGCTCTGCCGCGCGGGGAGGCTGTTAGTGCTCTGCCTGCTGGGGTGACCCTGATGTCAGGACTCCTAACAGGCCACCTGCCAGTCAGGAGATCCCAAGGCGTGGCCGCGCGGCCACCGAAACACACACACACACACCCTTCTTTTGGGGGACGGTAGCTGGCTCTTTTAATACTAAGAGTGATGGAGATGTTGTTTAAGAATGTAGATACAGACCGTTATGGACACTTGGAGACCTACAAGACGATCCACTCTTTGACATAGTATATTCTGAATCATTGTGTTAGGTTCTAAAGCGCAGTTGTAACACTTCCCTGCTCTTGTATAGACTGGTAGGTCTGATGAGCTGTTTCAGGGCAAATTAGTGCCTTGAGGTAGGAAGCCAATTAAGTGCCATAGATTTAAATTGCAAAATTACTTTTTACATCTAATGATTAGTTTAAAGCTCATGCAAATTAGCACAGGCCTAGGGCCCGGAAAGTAATAATCCAGAGTCTGAACGAAGCCAAGTAAAATTGTAATAAAAATTGCCATGAAGATCCCAGAGCCTTAGAACAGTAATCGTTTGGGCTATTAATGCTTAGAGTTGATAGGAACATGATAATATACCGCCTGATTTTATTTATTTTATGAAATATTGTTGATGTTCCTTAAAGATTCTATAACCTAGTTAAACATTGCCACTGCAGTTCTGACTCTCAGCTTCATTTTTATTTGAGAAAGTTACTGAGTGTGTTTTGAGGCCAGTTGATGGGTACTGGAGACACACAGATTGTCAAAGCATAGTCTTTGCTTTCAGGTATCTCAGAGACTGACCCACACAGTTTAGGTTAATAAATAATAGCGAAAATGTATCATCTCATTATTGCCAGGTCTGTGCTGAATATTTTTTTAATTCTTAGTCTTTGCAGCAGTCCTGCTATTGTATTGTTATTATCCCGTATTTCAGTGGAAGTACCTGAAAGGCACAACAGGGTATTTTGTTTGTTTTAATATCATATGGACTTTTGTTTCAGAGCAGTATATACATAAAATCAATAAAAAAAAAATCTGAAAAGGACCATGAAACCCAAGAAGTGCTAATGGAAATTTGCTGGTACATAGGAGCCTGGAAAATTCAGGAACCAAGGAGAAATGTTCCGAGATAACATTTGCGTTATCAACCTGTGTTGACGCTGTTTTTACAGGAAAAGCTATATTAGAACTTAAAAAAAAACCCTAGGAACAGTTGAAAAAAATTTGCCTAAGTTGACTTAACCTTGTAAATCTCCGCAGCCTTGTGGTCTGTTAAATCCACTGCCTCCCCAGACAAGATGATGAGAGTTGTAGAATGTGGAAACTTAATGTCTGTCTCTGAAGGTCTAAAGAGGCTTCCTAAGAAAGTAACCTTTGAGCTGGGACTTCTGGACACCCAGGAGTTCACTAGGCAGAGGGAACATCAGAGGCACAGAATAAGATACATGGCATGTGTAGAAAACCATCTTAGTTTTAGGGTGTGTCTGGAGTCAGAGGGGACATATGGATAGTGGAGGTTGTAGGGGATAAGTCTGGAAAGGTAAGTTGGCACCAAACCTCCTTTTCTGTTTTAAAGGATTTTTCCTTTATTCTGTAAGCAGAGGGTAAGCCAGAGAAGCTTTTCAAGCAGAAATGAAATAAGATTAGGTTTGTATTAGTTTTTTTCTTTCTAGAATAACCTGAATGATGATCTTATTGCTGGACTGGATGGATGAGATATGAGACAAGGAGAGCAATTAAAAAGGTGGTAAAATTATCCAGGCAGCATGTCCATGTTTAGAGTAGCAGTGGGAGTGGATTAAAGGAGAAGAATTTGAGGGACATTTCTTGGGTAAAATTGTCAGGCCTTGGTGACCAGTGGCTTTTGCTGGTGAGGGAGGGATTGGATTCAAGGATGACTCATTTATTCCTTCCTTACACAATAGTTATTGACTATCTGCTATTTGCCAGGTCACCGATCTAGTCGGTGCATGTATGATGGGGAACAAAGTAGACTTGGTTCCTGTTTTTATGGCATTTAGGTTTTGGTGGGAGAGCCAGACATTAAAAAGTAAAGACATGATTGCGTTTATAATGTTACAAGTTGTGATGCGTGCCATGAAAGAAAATGATAGAAAGAAAAATCAGAAACTTTAGGTTGAATAATCAGGGGAGGCCTCCGAGAAAGTGTCAGTTGGGCAGACCTGCTGGGTGAGAAGACCTAGCTGCTCAGGGAGAGTGTGTGTGTGTGTGTGTGTGTGTGTGTGTGTGTGTGCGCGCACGCGCGCAGAGGGCGGTGGGGCAAGAGAGGCTAGAGGAGAAGAGGGTCTCAGTGGAGGGAGGATCCTGAGGATTTGCTTTGTTGTAGGAAGTGAATGAATGTAGTGAGTGAAAGGGAGGGTGCTGGAAAGTAAGGTTGGAAGCCAATCGTGCAGGACCTTAGAGACCATGACCGAAGTTTGGATTTTATTCTCAGTTCAGTGGGAAGCACTTGTTAAGATGAGCCCTTCTGTTGCTGTCTGGAGAATGGTCTGCAGAGGGGAAAGACTAAAACAGCCAGCTACTTAGATTTCATCACAGTTCAAAAAGATGCGGTGAGGTTCAAGGTGATGGTTTTGGTAATAGAAAGAAATGGATGGATTCCAGAGTACTTTGAAGATAGTAGAGGATTTGTTTGTAGATTGGAGTAGGTGAACAGGGAAAAAGAGGCTAAAAGATGACTCCTAGCTTTCGAGTCATTGGTGGAGACTGATTGATGGGTAGAGAATCAGCTTCCATTTGAGCATGTTAACTTTGAGCTGTCTTTGTGTCCTTTGATTGGAGTTGTCAAGGAGAAAGTTAGATATGTGAGTATGGTGTTTAGAAGAGAAGTATGGGTTAAAAGTGAACTCATACAGGCCAGTCCTTCTCAATTCTGTGAGGCCCAGGCCCCCTTTATACAGCAGGTGTTTTGACATCTACCCTCTACTATCTTGGCATGACATCCGTAGCTAATATAACCTATCTGTGCTCACAATTAAAAAAATCAGTATAATGATCTAACTGTAATGTGATAGAGAGATAAAAGTATTTTTTAATATGCATTTCAATATGGAAGTACTTGTTTATGACCACAGTAGAAGACATGACCTAATCAGATTGAGTCCATGAATATTTATTGAGCCTTTGTATATATCAGATACTATATTGAATATTGTACCGCATGCTGGGGACAGAGCAATGAGTAAAACAAAAATTTCTTTATGCATTAAATTTAGGTTTTAGCGGGTAGAGGGAGTTATAAAATAATTAAGTAAAAGATAAAGTGTGCTAAATGGTGAGAAGTGCCCCACGTGGGAAAAATAAAAGCAGGGGTGCAGGAAAGGGAGCACCTCTCCTCCATGCAAAATCACATGAACGCAGCTGCTGCCCTCCACAGTGAGTCAGTCGTGTCGTTCTGGTGACTCAGAAAGGCCTTCGCTGCCATTGGTTGTGTGATTTTCCAAAATGGTCAACTCATGGGAAAAAAAGAGAGTTGTCCATTAATTTTACATGACAGTTGTATTTCTTGGCAATTACATGTATTGAAACCCCATCACAATACTTAAATCTGTAAAACTGAGTTAGTTCTAGGGAGGTTTTTCACCCATGTGGCCATCTGGTGGGGCCATTTGAAGGTCATGACACAAGACGTGTCTTCATTGTTGGGGACGGTCTCTTGAACTGCAGGACACCTCGCATCTCTGGGTTTGCTCACTTAATACTACCACTATTCATCCTGAAAACATCCCTAGACATTTCTGAAGTTCCCTTAGAAGCTGGTTCTGTCCCTTTTGCAAACCTCTGAGTTAAGGGGAGAGAAGAGGGATGGATCCTTGAATGAACTTGACATTAAGAGTTTTATTAGAGGTGGAGGACTAGGGGAAGGAAACTGAGATTGTTAGCCTGGCGGGGGTGGGAGAAGTCAGGAAAGTAATGTCTCAGAAGACAAGAGAAGATGTTTCCACAAAGAGGAACCCCTCAATGGTCAAATGGCACTGAGAAGTCAAGTAAAAGGGACAGGGAAGTCACTGAATTGGACGAGGTGGAGATGTTACAGGTCCTGACTAGAGTGAGAAGGACAGAAGCCCATACTGGAGTGGTTTAAAGAGGGTTGAAGTACATGGGTGTAAGTTAGAGCAGCACGAATTGGCAACTGTTTCACGAAACATCACTCAAAACATTTCTCAGAGGAGAAATCGTGTGCTATTTAGGGGACTGTGTAGCTTTCAGTGCTTAAAAAAATAAGATAGATGATATTAGAACATACTTGTGTACTAATGAGAATAATCCAGCAGGAAGGGAAAGATTAACTCAGGAAACAGGATAATGAAGGATTACGAGATAATAAAGGGCTAAATAGTGTGATGTCGACTCTTGAGAACTATAATGAAGCTGGGCTGGTGATGAGGAATCTTTGTGTTGGACTTGAAGGATGGTAGGCCTTTCCATAGGCAGAAAGGAAAAAGGGGCATTTTTTTGATGAATAGACAGACTTGATAAGAGCAAAAGGAGGGGACAGAGCAGGTGTAACTGGCAGGAGGGTTCTTGTTGAGTAGAAATGGGAAATAAGATTTGGCAGAGTGGAGGGGGAACAGATAACCGAGTGGGCTGGAAATGAGGCGGAGAAGTCTCTACATTAGAAGCTCTCAACCCATTCCCAGTTAATGGGAACTCCTTCAGTCTTCAGTGCTCTGCGTTTCTGCCATAAACACATGCTTTCGTTCTTGTTTTATTTTCATATTCTTTTTCATCATAGGTTACTACAGGATACTGAATGTAGTTCCCTGTGCTATACAGAAGGAACTTGTTATTTCTCTGTTTTACATATAGTAATTAGTCTCTGCAAATCTCGAACTCCCAATTTATCCCTTCCCACCCTCTTTCCCCACTGGTAACCATGAGTTTGTTTTCTCTGTCTGTGAGTCTGGTAAACACGTTCTTGAATACCCATGTTGTCGGATTATCCGCCAGCGTGCCTGCTGCTTCCATTTGCTGGCTGATGTGCTTTACCAAGGGGCAGTTGTGTTTATCCTCAAATCTGTCTACCCCAACTCTGTTTGTTATTTTTATTTATTTAAACCTGGTATAAATCGGTGGAAATAAGTGTGAAAATGAAATTGATAATGCTATGTGAAGACTTATGGATACAGTCACTAAAAATTACTCCTAAATTACATGAAGATTGTGAAAGATCAAGGATTCTATATTCATAGTTTTTCACAATTTTAAGTTCTACCATCACATTTTAAAGAAACCCAAACTGGCAAACACAGATGATACATTATGGGTGTGAGTTATGCAAAAAAAGATGACACAGAACTGTCAGCAGTGGATCCTTACTCAGAGAAGAGGCCTTAGTCTTATGATAAAAGATAGAGGAATGACTATTTATATACTTGCTTATTTGGAAATGTTTATTGTTTGCATGGTTTTTAATGATTATCTAATCTTACCAATTATTTGACTGACTGATCAAATACTGGTCCTGATTGCTTGGCTGAGTGTATTTTTACTGTATATGATGTGAGAAGTTTAGGAAGCCGGAGAAGACCAAGTAGTATTTAAAGATGATTATGGCAGGCATCTCCAGGCTGAATGGGATGGGAGTCTGTACAAGGGAAGAATTAATCAAAATATATCCCAGTATTAATGTACATGTTACAAACTGTTCTGCTAACCTACACGGTCATTTTGTGTTTATCCAGGAGCCTTTGAGGGAACAGGGAGAGGAAAAGAAATTAATATTTAATGAGCATTTTCTACCAGACATTTTGCTAGGTCTCTACATGCATGATCCCGCTTAATGCTCGCAGCAATTCCCCTTTCCAGAGGAGGAAGCGGCTTTAAATAACAGGTTAAATCTCTTTCTCAAGGTAATTTAGCTAATGAGTGGGGAAGGAGAATGCTTTTACTTTACTAGGGAATCTCGTTAAAATCCCTGATGTTCTCTGAGTTGTAAAGGCATTCATTTAATTGCTGAGTAATAAAATCTTCTTTGAATTAAATAAGACCAAATGAACTGTGATTCTTCTTTAGTAGAAGGGGAATCTTCACAATGCTGGCAAAGTACAAGCTCTAGCCTTTTTCTAAGATCTTGTCTTTTGCTTGTTTTTTTAATGCAACGGGGGGACTATGAATCTTTGCTACAGCTAGAGTGGACAGTTGACTATAAAAAGAAAAAAAGGCACAGTAAATAATCCATTAAAAAATAGGGACTATATGTGCATGGTTCAAAACTCAAAAGGTCCAAAATGAGTCAGCTTCTCACTGCCTTTCCTTTAACTGATCTGTTGAGTGGCCACTGTTAACATTTTTTGTATATCCTTCTAGAAATAATCTGTTCATATATAGGCATATATTACATGCTTTATAACACTTTGTCATTTTTTTTTCCTCAGCAAAGAATGTCATACTGCTCTGCAGCATAGAGCTGTATCTTGGACCTTGTTCGGTACTAGTACAGAGGGAAGTACTCGGTTCTTTTATTTAGCACTGCATTGTGTGGCTGTACCACACTTAATCTAGTCAGTTACAGATCAGTGGACCTCTAGGTTACTTACAATCCTTGCTACTATAATGCTGCTGATATATGCCTTTGTGCACCTCTGTTTAAATTTAAAGGGTATAGGCATTTAAATTTTTGATAAATGTTGTCAAACTGCCCATCGTAAAGATTTTTATAATTTGCACTCACACCATTGGAGTATGAGTGCCTCACCCACGCTGTGTTTTCAAACTTTGATCTTTGCCAACCTGACTAGTAAAAATGCTGGTTTAGTTTGATTTCTCTTAGTATGAATGAGGTTATCATCTCGATATGTTTAAAAGACATCTATATTTCCATTTCTTTGAATTTCCTTTTTTCTGTTTGTTGATCTTTTTCTTATTGCTTTATAGGAACTTGTTAGAAATTGAGGAAATTTGCTCTTTGTGACATATTTGGCAAATCCTTTTTCTCCGTTTCTTATTTATCTTTGACTTTGTCATACTCCTTACCATGTAAGAAGTTATTATTTTTATGTAGTTTCTTAAACCTTTTCTATCCTCTAACCAAACTGCCTAGGTACCAAATGGTTGGTCTCATTCCTGATAATTCACATTGAATGATAAAATGACTAGAAAAATAGACTGACGATAATAACTATAGTTTTGGATATTTTTGCTTTTAGAAAGTTCTCTGGACTGATTAAACATTAATATCTGCAGGTAGTATAATACCAAAAATAGGATTGTAAGTCAAGAGGGAAAGGAGATTACATAGATTATCTGATTGAACCAGCATTGCCTAAGTGTCTACAATGTACAAAACTCTTTGCTGGGCATTGGGGTAAAAGGGAGAACCTTTAATGGATTTTGTGGTTAAGATAGATATGTAATGGTGTTAATTGACAGAATTAGGGAAGAGCTTGAGAAAGAGATCAAATTTAGGAAAGGCGAGACAATCTAGGAAGTGGTTACCTAGCTATTTTGCTCTGAAGCTTCCTGACCACTTCTCAGGTCCAGTCTGAGGTTTCACAGCCTCCATTCTTTGTTAGGAGCAAATCTGAGAGATTTAGCCTGCTCTCTGCCTTCTGCATTTTCTTCTTATTTAGTTTTGGATTTTGATTTAGTGCCCACCAAGACTGGCTAAGAAATAAGATAGTCTCCCCACCCAGCCCCTTTTATTGTCCTTGAAGATAAGAACATAAAGCCCTTAATGATCATAGTTCATTGGTGCTCACTGTGTATGCCCAGATAAGGATTAAAAAATAACAAAGATGAGGAAGTTAGGAAATACACCTACTGCTAAGTTCTTAGAATAATAGGCTGTAGTTCTGAATTCCCTTGATGGGATGGTAAGAGTCAGCTGTCCTTTTTACTGTCTGATTTTATTTTGCTGGCTCTCCACCCTTAAGACTTTCCTCTTTTGTCTGAGCTCCTGTTTAGCGAAGGTGGTGTTGACTGCTTCCTCCAGACTGACACAGTGGTCTGTTTTTAATTCCCCTGTGGAACTAGTCAAGCAGAATGGTAGGCAATCCCTTGTTCCAGGTGTAGTCTGTAAACTTATCTGGACCCCTCCATAATTTCTTTCCTTTTGTCTCAGGGGATGGTTGTCCTTTTAACGCTGGTTGGCTAATCTTCCCATTGTTTGGCTGACATTCAATTTTATTTTTATTCACATTTTTGACACTTATATTTGTATTGTTTCTTACTTGTTTTTAGGTAAAATTTGGTAATACAACCTTTAAAACAGATGTGTGTCTCAAGTCCCTCAACCCTCAGTGGAACTCAGAATGGTTTAAATTTGAGGTAAGTTTTTAAATGTCAGCATTTTTGACTGTTTTTTTGAGGTGACCCCTTTTCCACAGGAATGGAGTACCTTTCATTTCAGGTATAGTGATTTTTTTCTAAAAATATTTCCTAGTAATAACTGAGGTCTTAAAAATCATGTTACAGTTTGGAAAATGATAGTATATGAGTAGGAGAAGCCAGATTAAAAATGTATTATATTATTATATAGTAATTTTCTCTGGATTTTAGCATATACCAATGTACAGATTAAAAAGTTTTTTGAAATTGTAAAAAATGTATATCATAAATATTGTCATTTTAACCATTTCTAAGAGTACGAGTTAGTTAGCATTAATTGCATTCACATGCATATAATGTGCAGCCATCATGACTATTCCCAAAGCTTTTTCATTACTCCAAGGAGAAACTACTCATTCAGCAATAACTCCCCATGCCCTCCTCTCCCCAGCCCCTGGTAACCTCTAATCTACTTTCTACTTTAAGTAATATTTCTATCTAGTATATGTATACATTGATGGTAATGAAGATTTTTAAATTACAAGATTTATTTTTAAAAGGTATACTTTTTTAGGTGGACGATGAAGATTTACAAGATGAACCTCTCCAGATCACAGTTCTTGACCACGATACTTACAGTGCAAATGATGCCATTGGTAAAGTCTACATTGATATCGATCCTTTACTCTACAGTGAGGCTGCCACTGTCATCTCAGGATGGTTTCCAATTTATGATACCATTCACGGTAAGCAGTATAGTTTAAGAAAATAAGTCACAATCCTTTAATTTATCTTTAAAGACTTCTGTGCTCTACTTGGTGGTTTAAAAAATATGTCTCTTCAAAAGATGTCTTCTTTTTAGTGGACATGTAGTGGTATGTATTGTTGATAGAGTTGTTACTTTTCTGAACATAATTTGATATAACGCCTGCTAACTTTGTACCAGACAGTAAGCAAATGCATCATTTAAAAATCATCTAATATTGGCACTCCGTTTCTAAAACATATTTTTAGGTGAATAATCTTGAAACTTGTCTGCCTAAAAAATTCTTCGAAGGAAAAAATATTCTTCAAAAGCCTTTTGTTGCCTAAAGCAAAGTTCTCAGAGTGTGGTCTGGGGACATCTAGGGTCCCTGAAATACTTCCACAGACTCTGTGAAGTAAGATGAGAACTGTTTTTAGCGTAATGCTTACGTGTCATTGCCATTTTAATTCTAACTTTCTTACAAGTGTATAAAGAAGTTTTCTAGAGGTTTTGTGATGTATGATGTTACCACACATTGATTGCAGAGCAGAAATGAGAATCTAACTATTCCATTAAGCTAGACACTAGAAATTTGCGAAAACGTGATATAATGCCACTCTTACTGCTAAATTTTTTTGTTTTTCAAAAGTTTTTATAAAAATGTTTATTTTGACATAAAGTGATTTACTATGATTACTTTAAATAAGTAAATATTTTTCTAAATTTTCAATTTAAATTTATAATATAGTAAATATTAAAGGTTTTAACCCACATAGACAAAGACTCTTTGAGGTCCTCAATGATTTTGGAGATTGTAAAGGGGTCCTATGATCAAAAAGTTTGAGAACTGCTGGTGTAGAAATATGTTCTTTCTTTACAATGGCAGATGGACCCATGAGGAACTGGCAGGTGCTTCTGTCTGCAGTCTTGCACTCTTCTCCCTGTTTTACATTCTTGACCTTGCGAGTCCATTAATATAGTTTATTATAAGAAAATAAGACGTTTGATGAGAGTTATGTATATTTGTTGTGGCAATATTTGTATTCTACTCTTATTTACTAATATTTAAAATGGCAAAATAAATAGGAAAACAGGATTTACTTAAATAAATTAGAGCATATATAGACCGTCAGTTATATAGCTGGAACAAAATACATGTTTTCAAAACAATGGCATAAGGAAATGTGCGTGATATACTACGAATTGCAAATTTCAGATCATAAAAGGCTGTTATTAGACAATCTCCAATTTGTTTAGAAACAAAAAAATTTACATATATGTGATATCATTGGATAAATTGGTAGAATAGTGATAAAATGTTTATCCTTGAATAGTTTCATTTTGAGACTATAATTTAACTTTTCTTCTTTGTCCTCTTTTGCTTTATTTCCATATTTTCTACACTGTATGTATATAATCTTTGTAATCAGGAAATAAAATCCAGTCAAATGTTACATTGCCAGTAAGAAAAGCTGCTGGAGAACTAATCTGGGCTTGGATTAAAGGCAGTAGCTATACGAGTGAAAGAATTTTCCAAACATTTCATATAAAATATTGTTCACAGTTGGTTTAATATGCTCAATGGGCCCTTTGTTAGGAAAGCAGTCATCTCTTATTTCACGGGTAATGAACAAGTCACTCTTCTTGGAAGGTCTTTCTCCACAAGTGCGAATTTGACATGAAGTCAGAGCAGTCAGAAATATTTAGCAAACATTTCGAGATGGGGGCTAGGCCATTTTTTATGTGTTCATTTCATCTTCTGAAAAACTCTTTTTCTTGGAAATTAAAGTTTAATAAAAGTTAAATAAATTACATCGTGTCAATAGCTAGTAAGAGGTGGGGCCAGGATTAAAAGTCAGATCTTTATTATCCCAAAGTAAATGCTCTTCACCACTAATGCAAGAATCTGATTTAACACAAAAGAAGCTTTATTCTTCTCAGTGAATTAGTTAAAATAAGCTAACAAAGAGATTTCAAGAAAGAGGGTTTTTCAGAAGATGCCCTAACACATTAAAATGACTCAGCCCCTATCTCTGAACATTTATTAAATATTTTTATTTGACTGTCCTGACTTCATGTCAGAGTCATACTTGTGGCAGAAGACCTTATTTTAACTCATAAGTCTACAGAAATCACCTTACTGGGTTGGTGTGTGCACTATGAGATACTGCACATAAAGCATTTAGAACACTATCAGTATTCAGCAAACGTTATTGTCATCATCATCATTGTCATCGATATAAAAGACTAACCTTTCCAGTTAGTCTTGGTTCCAGTAAGTGGAGACTTGTGCTGAAGATGAAAATTACTCATTCCCTAATGCATACATAGTTTTCAGGAAATGTAAAAAAAACTACTTAGGAATGAAAATAACATGGAGAAAAGTTAACCTTGCTATTTTGATTGATACATTATTTTAAAATAATTGGCATTTATTTGCTTGATTGTTTAATTATACTTTAGTTTCTTGAGGTGGTAACTTGATTTTCCTTTTGAAATTATAGGTATCCGTGGGGAAATCAATGTAGTTGTCAAAGTAGACCTCTTCAACGATTTAAACCGATTCAGGCAGTCGTCATGTGGAGTGAAATTCTTCTGCAGTAAGTAAATATATTTTATTACTCACTTGACAGGAAATTTAATAATGTTAAATATGGGAAGTCAAATTAATATTTCAGAAGGCCAATGGAAAACCTACTGTACTTTGGTTTTAAGGCCAAAGAGAAAATTGTTAACTTTTCAGAAACAATTCTGGGGACTCTCTCTGATTTTCAAAAATTATTTTTCCATTTATTATTTAAAAAAAAATTTTTTTCGTTTTGAACGCTTGTGTCGAGGGCTGACTTTCAGTAAATCACAGTGAGGGAGTTGCTCTGCTACGTACGAAGCCCTGACCCAGAAACAGACTCTACCTGATTTTAAAGTAAATGATACTTAATTTGTTTTACAAGTTCAGAGAAATTTTTGTAAGAAAAATCCAGTGGCCATGTGCATACACACAGTAGTCATGTTGAACTTAGAAGACTGATTAGAAATATTATTATAATTGCATCGAGCTTATCACAGTAAATGATGTTCTCGTACTATATATCCAAAAGGTAAGAATTTAGTTGTACGTTTTTAAAAAGTTGAATTTAACCTTGTGATAAATAGAAGCATAATAGATAATTTTCTTTTAACAGCAACATCTATTCCAAAATGCTACAGAGCTGTGATAATTCATGGATTTGTAGAAGAACTTGTAGTCAATGAAGACCCAGAATATCAATGGATTGATCGGATTCGCACACCAAGGGCATCAAATGAGGCCAGACAGAGACTCATTTCCTTAATGTCAGGTATTTTAAAAAAATAATAACTTCGTTACTGATTGACTTAACATGCTAAAATTCTTCACTTCCTTTTGGCATGCTACCTAAAATTTTACAATGAAGACTGAATTGTAAGTGGCTGATTCCCTACCCCTGGCCCCATCCTCCTAAGGTGCATTGCCACCTTATAGCAAGAAGAAATCAGAATCAGAAACGTGTAGCTCCTTCTTAACTAGGTAGAAAAAGGAAATTGTGCTCATGAGGTAGCGTAGTGGAAAGTTCCTGCTGAGCAGAAAAGTAGGAAACTGGGTTCTGTTTTTCCTCCTTTGATCATTCCTTTGTAATCACAGTTTGCATAATCTCTCTAAGGCTTTTTGTTTAAATGTTGCCTTTTCATAGTCCTTCTCTGACATCTTGAAGCTCCTTCTGCACCTCGCCCCCTCCCCCCCAGCCTTGCCACTCTTACCGTATTCTCTTTATTTTTCTTTGAAGAACTTATTTCCATCTAAAATGTATATTTATGAGTGTGTGTGTATATATATTAATAAAAATAAATGTTATATTTATATTTAACAAGTATGTATTATATTTGTATTTATAAGTACAAATGTTAATTTGTATATATTAAACATATAGTTAAATAGAAAAATACAACTATATATGTACTTATATTAACGCATTAATTATATTTAATTGATATTTATAAGTATATATAAATGTTATATGTAACGTAATATATGTTATACTTTATATACTAAATAGTAATTTAATTATATGCTTTATATTTGTATTTATTCTACATATTTGTG